AATCCATACATACATCAATTGTGTAAAGCACATTTGTACATTCCTTGCCCTCGTCATTCTCAAAACATTTGCTCTCCACTTAAAGGAGGAGAAATCTTGATGTGCACTTTGATTAGTTGTGGTGGGGTGGACTTTGTTTTTTATGTTGATTAGTCTATTGTGAATTATTTCATATTCCTAGCTAATTACATATACTGGACTTTTTGAAAGATTGAGTTGAATGAGTTCTTTTTATATATAATATTCATCCACTGATAAATGTAATATTTTTTTACTATAACTTAAATTCTTTCTTAAATTTAGACTTTCTCTGGAAGTTAGGCCAATGAACTTTTATTTTTTTGTTCTACCATTTGAAGCATGGTTTTCTAATCCATTTTAATGGCACAAATGTTTACCATATTCTTGGGTCTAAGTATTACTGTTTGCTGCTAGTAGGTCTTCTCTGACCTACAGAGATAACAGTATTTATCTCTGTAGGTTTAGCTCAGAAGTAACAATGTTTACGGTCTTCGTTATAGGTGACAGTGCTCGATCCCAGGTTTTGAGAGAGAAAGTTAATGAATTGGAAAAAGAAATAGAAAAATTCAAATATGAGAATACATCGTTAGCCAAGCTTCGCATTGAAAGAGAAAGTGCTTTGGAAAAACTCAGGTAAATTCACAGCTACATCAAAAATCACTGCCTTCGGGTCAGTTCTGACTCAGAGTGACCTTATAGAGTAGAGTAGAACTGCCCCTGTTCCCCAAGATTTCTAAGACTAAAGAGCAGAAAGCCTGACCTTTCTTCCCTGGAGCAGCTAGTGGATGTGAACCTCCAACTTGCGGTTAGCAGCACACCCTCCTATGCTACCACGGCTTTACTTTGCAGCTATAAGTCAGGAAAAAATATACAGCAACTCAGTCAATAATATTTGAAATATTTCTCACTAAGAAATATGAATGAAAAAGAAGTGAAATCTATCCCAGTTAAGTTGCTTTTTTTTTTTAAAGTAAAATGACCCGGTGTGGTCAAAGATGTATTAAAAGGGGAATTCTCTTAGTGGTATGGCTGTAGATTATAACTTGAAGAATAAGATGGAACTCCCAATTCAACTGCTATAAATCAAGTTCCACTTTGACTAGAAATATGATAAATATGGGATTCCGTTCTATATCATGAGCTAATTTGATACTTTTAAAATTTAAAGTCATTTTATTGGGGGCTCATACAACTCATCACAATCCATACATACATCAATTGTATAAAGCACATTTATACATTTGTTGCCCTCATTATTTTTTTTAAAAAAATTATTTTATTGAGGGCTTGTACAATTCTTATCACAGTCCATACATGCATCCATTGAGTCAAGCACATATGTACACCTGTCGCCCTCATCAATCTCAAAACATTTGCCCCTTACTTTAGCCCTCAGTATCATTTGCTCATTTTTCCCCTTCCCTCCCCCCTCCCTCCTGAACCCTTCATAATTCATAAATTATAGTTTTGTCATAAGTTACACTGTTGGACGTCTTCCTCTGCCCTCTTCTCTGCTGTCCATCCCCCAGGGAGGAGGCTATACTTAGATTCTTGTAATTGGTTCCCCCCTTCTACCCCACATTCCCTTCACCCTCCAGGCC